TCTGGGTAGCTTGGAGGGAAAGCGACTGTTCCGCAAGCAACGCCACCTTGAATTGAAAATGCTCGGACGTCCTGAAGTTGAATAGGCTCCACATGGTGATGGTCCAGGGCTTGTGGGGTCAGCTGCCACTTGTGTGTGTGAGTGAATGGCTTGAGGCAGGGTTTAAAGTAACCTGCGTAGGAGAAAGCCGGAGGCTGAGAGAAGGAGCCTCATTTCCTCTCCCAAACAGTTTGCGCGAGGCTGGCCTGCGCTTCATGTCACAGCTAGTCCCTGGCAGCGAGGCTGGGGCAGACTCCAGGAGGACTGGCTTGAAATTTTGCCTCCGGGGTGTAAGAGATGCCATGCAATTGCTGGCGTCTCGTCATAGTGTTAATGTGTAGGGCGAAGATGTTTGTGCGGAGACTTTGGTGTCCTGATTGTGCTGGGCTCAAAGTTTGGCTTTCACACCACGCTCCAGCTTTGACCTCAATTCAGATGCGAAGTCGACGGGCTTGGAGCCGCAACTGCAAGACTCCTTTCCCGCATTGTGATCTGGATGGCGCATGGGATGATGATGTGCCAGATGGATGGCAGCAAGTCTTCATGTCTTCAAGGTTCCCTAGATGCCGCGTTGAGATCTGCTATTTAACTAGGAAAGAGTGTATGCTCGCCACCTCCTGCCTTCGGAGAACGACCTCCAACGTCCGAAACCAAGTCTCCTACAGCACACGCCTTGCCAGGCAAATCCAAACATCCCAAAGCCCTGACCATGAACGTCTGGCAGACCAGTTCCCTTACCTGAGCCCCAAAAACTCGTGCCTGTCTTGAGCCTCATACCGCAATCAACAATTTGCCTCGCACTTGGGTCTGTTCATGGATTAGACCTCAGTCCTTGTGCATATTCTCTGGCAACCGCTCCCTTGACAGGCGAAGGTCTTTGACGTGGCCGACCAGGACGGGCATCTTACAGGGTAAGCAAGGAAACCTAATGGAATTCTGAGACTGGAGTTTGAATTCCAGGATGTATTTGTAACGGAGCTGAGGTACCCACAAGTCGTGAAAGAGTTGACACTTCAAGAAGAAATGTAATCTTGCAATTGTTTAAACACTTCATGAGTAAGCTGCACATACAGCTTATCATGCTGCAGGTAAGCTTTTCTGAGCCCTAGAGGGATTCTTTAACTGGATGCCTGAGCCCTACACCATGAAATTTTCATGTGAAAGAGCCCTACACCATGAGCCAATGCTCCCTAACCTCCTTGACGTGAAGGTCTGCCTCAAATCCAGAACCATCAACTGCAAATCCGCTGAAAGGCGCTCCATACTCTGTCGACTTTTAACCATCAGCGCAATGCTACGACGGCATGAACAGTCGCTAACCCTCTACACGCAAAACCTCGACACCACAGGCTTGAACTGCCATTTATTTATTTCAAAAAATTCTCAAGTTCGGAGCTTGGCAGCCCCACCCTCGCAATTCCTTCGGTGTGGTTCAGGCCAAGGTGGATTTGCGCTATGTGTCGCCTGCAAAGGGTGCCTCGCAGGCAGGAGGTATTGTCTGTGTCCAAGAAGGGGGTCTCGAGAACTCGGAAGCTAGTAACCAATAGCCAGTAGCCCGTAGTCGTGGATTGTGCAATTTGGATGCACATAGCCGTTCCAACCGCGTTAAAAATTGTCGCAGGCATAGCGACAGAATGAAGGCTTACTTCTGCACAAGGCTTCTACAAGCAAAAAACAACGTGAAGATGGAAGGTATGATTGGCAGTTGAAATTTGCGCGGAGAGTGTTGTTTTGAAAGTCAGCAAGCCGGAATTGCTCAGATGGCCTATGCGGGACAAATTTTGGACAACTAGGCCTGAGCCTGGCGCAAGGGATCCCGTTTTGGACAATGACAACTAAGAAACGCCAAGCATGTGTCGAGAACCAAACCCGTCCCCACAACGGGCTAGATAGAAATAAATGAAGCGCAGCCTGCCAATGGTATCTATGGTTTGACAGCCATTCTCCATCACAACTCGGACATTGAAGTGAGTGCGAAATGACATGGTGGAATGTCTACAGCTGCATTGACCGCCTTGTGTGACTTCGGCAACAGGTGGTGTCCGTGCTGCTGCCTTTGGCTTTCTTGTTTGTGTGGTATCAGATTGCAAAGCTCGGCGCTTGGGAGGTGGTGAACTGGAAGGTGCAGCAGCATCACGAGCATACGGTGAATGGTGCTGTGTTTCCTCATGGTGTATTGGGTTGAGGTCACTGATCACACGGGACAACAAGTGGACGCCAACGAGACCTCGTCTGCAAACCTGCGCCTGTCTTGCTGCATGACATGATGATGTTCCACTGAGCTCCTGTCGTTTGTGAACTTGCAGAGTTTTCCAACAGATGCTTTAGAATCTGTGTAGCTGTCTTGCTGACGAAGTGTTGATTTTCGATGCTGAATTTTCAGCCACCCTGTCCTAGCAACTTATCACTAGGAGTCCTTGTTGCATCGAGCGCATTAAATGACATATCGTGACTCCGTCCTCTGCTTGCTCTACACCTGCATACTTCTTGTAGTGCCACAGAATTTCAGCACGCCAGGCCAAGGGAGAGGACGACGTTTGCAGACGTGGTCAGCAGGAGCAAGGTGTCCATGAAGACAGCATTTGGGTCAAGGGAGCCCCTAATGAGTATGAGTATGCATCTACAGATGGCAGTCACGCAGACCACAGGCTTATGTTAGAGGCCAGTGGAACGCACTCAGCAGCATCTTTTATGCGGTCGAAGCCTGATGTAGTTGGAGTCAGTTCTGGTGCATTGTTCAGACCAAGCATAATTTCATAAGAGTCACGCCTCATGCGGACTTAGAATTTGACAGCTCCCGAACTCGTGACGTCCTAGACCGAGGTGCTCTCATAGTTGCAAACTTGCAGCATCTTGGTGTCCGGTTTGCAGAGATTCCTGCATCCCTTTTCCTGAAAGGGCTTTATTTGCGATGTGTCGAGCTGTCTACCAAAAAAGTTTACAGACTGCTCAGAGAATGGAATTTCGCAGGTTGAGCTCAGTGAGATTGTCGACTACCTGAACGAGCCTGCGAAGTTTAAGGAGGCATGCAGTCAATGCTTTGCGCTGTGAGTGTTCAGGTGCATAACTTCGAACCTGAACCCTCGACCTGAGTCCTCAGCTGTGAAGGGCTTGGCGACCTTCCATTTCAAGGCGTAGGGTTGAAATTGGCCTGAATTTGACACAGGACGCTTGAGGCCTCGCTTGCTTTCAGGAGCCCGAGGCTTCTCACAGTTTAGCGCAAAGCAGCACAGGACTTTGGCAAGATCCTTATCGAAATCCGACACCACAAACCTCGAAGCCTAAGAAGCGCAAGGCTCAAGGCCCTAGGCTCTGAAGCCCCAGAAGCAAAGAGGCTGGTGCGCGAATGCCGCGTGGGGCCCTCCTTGTTGGTGCGGGCCTTGTCCGCTAGTCAGTTTAAACTAGCTCAAAGCATTGTCGAGGGAATCTTGGTTGAATCCCTGTTCTTTTTGTTGTGGTTGGGAGACGTCACCATGTTGCCTACAAGCTGAGCGGAGTGATATCGTTTCCGCGTTGTGTGAGGTGGAGGAAGTACATGTATTGCTGTTGGTAACAGTACAACACGACGTGTTTCAGCATGTCATTTTATTCTGCCAGTGAAGCCCCTAGCATTGGGTAAGGTTGAAAGTTCTTGAGGAGAGTCTTTCTTTTTCTCAACTCCATCGCCCGCAGTTGCGAGAGTTGCTTGCAAGAGCCTGTCTTTCTCAACTGCAACAGTGGAAGCAGAACAGGCCCCAGCGGCACCGGGAAGACTCTGCTGGCGCGAGCAGTTGCCGGTGAGGCTGGGAAGGGTCGAATGCGGCTTTAAAGGATATCCCGGGAAGAAGGCTGATGCCTAAGTTCAAGAGGCTTTACAAGGCAGGCTGAAGGCTCCAGCTCATCTTTGTAGCGGTTAACTCTTTTACCGGGGGGTATGTGCGCATTGATTCAGCAGGGATACGTGGGCTTCGACTGAGCTCCGATCACTGTGCCCTGGAAGCTTGTATTATATGCCCACACAGAGTGTGGCACATTTTGTAAGAGTCCTAAACCCAAACCTCGACCCAGAAACTCCTCAAACCTGCGCACAGGCAAATTGCAGCTTCCTCAGTGCCTCTGCGTCAGAGTTTGTAGAGGCCACCTCGGGGGCCTTGTACAAAGGAAGGTAGTAGATCATTGAGTTGATGTTGAACGTGGGGCTTGGGAATCCTGTGACATTCTAAGCAGAGCTTCATGACTCAGACATCACGGCCGCTTGTCTGTGAGCCATGTTAGTGTGCACACGGTGCTGTCTGATCTTAGCCCGCCGAAGGGCGAATTGCTTGGAACGTGTATGATCACGATTGAGGCGCAGACCAGGGCCTCCTGATGAAGCGTTCTTGGCAAAGTAGAAGCAGAGAATTGGGAGCCCATGCATGAAGACTCCCAAAAGGCCCCTTCGTCGTTAAGTCTCTTGTTTTGTGAACTTCAGCCTGCCGCCGCTGCCGCCGCTGCCGCTTGAGTCGAGGAGGGCCTAGGAGCCAGGTCTCGTGCCTTGGTGGCCCAGGGCCGCGCAGCCGGAAGCTTGGAAAAGCTGGAAGGCTTCTGTGAAACGGGCATTTCTTCTTGGGATTACAAAGGTTGGAGTTTTGAAAGAACACGAGGCCTCGTTCTGGTGCTACCGCCAGCATCCGCCAGCTGTTTAATCTTGCTCGTGTTTCGTTTGCCTTGGGCCGGATTCTTAGTGTTGAGTTGGGAGTATAGGCTGGTGCGGTAGGGGAGGCCACCACCTGCTTTGAGGTTCGTCAAGTAATAGGGTTACAAGTAACTAGTGCAGGCATATTATGACAGATGAACGGCTGCTCCGTCTGCTGCGACTGCAGTTCGTGGTAGAGAGAACTACTGTATAGTAAGCAGAACCGTTCTGAGATAAACAGACGTTACATTATGTAGACCTCAAAGCTGGCCCACCCTTGTCATTCTCGAGGCCGGCCAGTGGAGCTATGGACGCGAAGAAAGGGGGACGAGACCGCGTTTGGGAGGCTGCGCCTTGCAATCCTCACAACCCATCTGATAGAGGAGACCTAGGCACCACGTTCTTGGTTCAGGGAGCAGGGACACACTGTCGTCAAGAAACCTTGTGCAGACGGAAGTGTAGGCTATGATTTCCTTTGTCAGGGTGGTCACACTGTTATTGACCACCTGAGCCCTTTTTATAGCTGGAGCCTCAGCTTTCCTTTACCTTGTCCAGGATTGCGTTGGCAAAGGCTCGATTGAAACTCATGTCCCAAAGCATCAAATTGGGTCAGCGCTCCTGCAGCGCAGGAAGTAGTGTGAAGACATGCTAAGGCAAGTATGCTGACACCAGCTCAGCCAACGCCAAGATTCGAGAGGACTTGTTTGCTGTTGTTGTGCTTGCGGCAGGGTGGCTCTTTATGTGCTGGAATTGTGTTGCAGGCCTCCATGAAAATGTGCGTGGCAGAAGGCCAGATAGAAGATGGTGACCTGGAAGAGGCCACAAACGCATCCGAAGGCGCAATCTGTTCTCAACCAGCCATTTCCAAAGGATCTCTTTGGCTTTCCCCAAGTACTTGCCGAGCAGACTTCCGCTGCTAGACCATTCGCATGCCTACATCCTCTATGCGTCATGAGTTCAAGCTGGCCCAGACTGCCTGGAAATCTTCAGAGAAGAAGGAGATGTGAGAGGCAGGCTGCTGCCTGTCGCAGTCTCCATATTGATGCTAGGCTCTCGAATTGTATCGGCACCTACATGCATGCCATTCTGCATTGAACACCTGCATGTTTCCAGCATGCTGGCTTGAAGATCTGGCAAGAGTTGGCATGGCCACTGTGTGCGAAAACCGCTGACATACTGTCAGCAGTTTTGCCCAAAGAACGTCATCAGTGCTTCGCAAAGTGTTGCAGTTTGGTACAGGCACACGCGATGCCCTCCGATTAGTTGTCCACGTTTACCGCGCGAAAGCGGACGAGGTGGGTTTGCCACCGCAGGTGTGAGGCAGCTGTACTGCTACGGAAGGCAAATTTTGTTGTCAGATAGACCACCTCCCGCTGTTCAATTAACATGGGCATAATGGAGGGGTTGCCTATACTGCGTGGTTGTCAAGTCTCTATAGTCTTGGTTGAAGCAGGAAATTTACCAAAGCTATCTGGGCTCGTCGATCGGTCGCATATTGGCAGGCCCGAAACAAGGGCGAGCGAGCTGAAGCATCGCACCAAGCACATCCGACTTGAAGTTCAAATGTTTCAACAGGTACCGATGCTGAGCATGCCTCCCCGCCCTTACCTTAATCTCCCCAGTCTGTTTCGAGGGCGAAGGTAGGGAAGCGGCCCAGGCACGAGATTATCTCGAGAAGGCAGAAGCTCTCGCTGAAGAGGCACCTGTTGGTGGTTTTGTAGTACACATGGCACTGGGCACCCCCCAGTATCAGTAGACGTCCGATCCCGTGTCCTTCAAGGAGTTATTCTAAGCGACCTTCATCTTGCAACAAGTGCAAGATGCTGAAGATCCAGCTCATAGCCAGGCACTTGCAGAAGCTGCTGGATGCAACCAGTGTGGTTGACATTGATTCTGATTACGTCCTGCTAATAATGCTTTTCGGACAGCTAGTCGGGATTCCACAGCGTGGACAGGAGCTCTCGAACTACAGAGACGCAGGTGATGACCTGGGTCAGGCAAGCTGGTCTTTTGCTTGGTCATGGGGTTAGACTTTTGGGGCCCTTGCTACTTGCACCAGCAGCGCGGACACTATTAGGGCTGGTGTAGAAGACGCCACCGCTGCTGTTGGAGTTGTTGAGGCATGAGTTTCAGTTTCAAGTTTTAACGTTCCGGCTTTAGACTTTTTTGTGTTGAGCCGTTGGCCCACACACCGATTCAGCCTCACTTGACCTGTTTCCTCCAGGGTATTTGAGCATTGGATGCAGGAGCTCCTGAGAGGTTTGTTTATGTTTGTCAGGCGTGGTGCGTTAACCTGATTGAAGCCCTTGAAGCCCTTCTGCCAAGCTGAGCTTGAGCCAAATTTGAATCAAAGCCACCAAGCAATCACAAAAAGCAAGCTTGAAAGCCAGAAGGCAAGCCCAGCACTGTCTTCGTGACGAGCACCTCCATTCCCGTAAGCCCCAGAGCCACAGCCACTCCCACAACAGGCAAAACCCCTTTCAGCCCAGGGCTGCATGCTGCTGTGCATGGCAGAATCTACCTGCGCCTACCGGGGAAGCATGAAGAGAGACGAGGCCTTCGAGAGGATTTCGGGCTACGGGCTTTCCTTGCCCGAACCACAGCCTGAAGCCAAAAAATTGCCCGCCAACCCCAAACAATAAGCTCCAGCATTCAGTACTTGCTCACATTCCTGGCAGTTTTGCACATGGGCCGAGGGTTAGATCAGTGGTGTAGACTGCCCAACCCTGAGCAGCCCGAGAAAGCTCCCAAACCCAAAGCACCCTTACCCCAAGTCGAAGATCCTCCCGGTCTTGGCATACCGCTCCATAACCCGTCAAGCTTCCAAATGCTGAACACGCTGACCTAGAAAGCCTAAATCCCGTGAAGCCCCTAAATCGCAAACACCATGACAACCCTGAAGCCCTCAATCCAAATCACAGCTTTGGGAGCCTGTCCAGGCCTTGGAAAATGCCGAGGAAGCCCTGGCGATCTTCCGCGAGGCGGCTCTGTGGCCTGTTGGGTATTCGGCATGAGGCTATTTATCATCCGAATTCTCATGTCGTAGCAATTCCCCGTTCTGGCGCAATCATGGGGTGCTTGGGAATTGTAGAGCAGCGTTCAAGGCTTGCATTTAATGTGAGTACGCCTGCTGCTACGATGCATTTGTCATGTCCTAACTACGTTGATGAGACAATGACGACGATGAATGCAAGTCCTGTCGTTGTTGTACTCGTAGCTGGTCATTACGGTTGAGTTCTTCAGATCTTAGATTTTGGCCGTGCACCTGATTATTGCCATCATTGCTACTACATCTATTTGTTTGAGAGTTGCTGTACCAGCTTCGGAGATGAGAACGAAGCATGTTTTGTCATGAGGCTAGCCGCAGCTTTCACTGGAGGATAGAAGTTGGCGGATCAAATCAACCAGGGAAATTGGGTAGAACCGATAGCCGACCAGCCCAAAGGATGATGCCACACAGACCTGCTAGCATTGCCAGGATGTTGTCAATACAGAAAGTTTGATCACCTGTTGAACCGGGTTGAATGTTGACAACTACCCAGGACTTGTTGTGGCACATCAGGAATTACAGGTAACGAGCATGGGCTGGTTGGTGTCTGCAAGCTCTGGATTGAGTTCTGTTGTGGTCGGGAAATTCTTGACAGGTATCGCATATGGATAGTAGCGGGATGCTACCTTCGCTTCCTGTCAAAGATTTGTTGCTTGCAGAACTGCTTTGCTTGATGCAAGCCCAGAATCGAAACGGGGGATGCCGGGATCCCAAGCAGGAAGGCAGAGCTCAATTGTTGAAGGGTTCCGAGTTCCTGCATCTTTTGCAAAAGAATGTTTTCATACGCCAAAACCCTCTGTGGGCCAGGTTAAGGATCCCAAGTACGAGGGCCTCGCAGCACTGACTGTGGCAGAGGCCGCATGGGCAGGGGATGCGCGCTGGGAGGTGGTGTTCAGAGGGGTTTAAACACTGTTGCAAAGGTTTCAGCAGCTGCTTGGGTTCGTGGAATGGATTGCTGCAGTTTATTTGTCGGCAGTATCGGGAACCTGGGTCGCCACTACCCGCATCTGATCCCTTTATCAATTTTGCTTTTCTCCTTTAAGCGTTGACAAGTCTTCTGCTCTGTTTGCACCCCGCCTCTGTTAGCTCCGCCCTGCAAGCAAGTGTTTTTGCCGAGCACCGTGATTTGGTGTCACAATGACTTTGGATGCTCACGTTTCTTTTGCCCTCGGCTCAGCGCGAGGGCAATGTGAGGAGACAAGCCAGACATACTTTTCCAGAGTCCAATCGGCAACGTTGCTGGCGGAAGGTTTATTTCCGCAAGCGGAACTTCCATGCCGCGAGACGGGCAGCAGCTGAGGTGCCTTTCGGGGGAAGAAAGCAACATTGCTTTGGAGCTTCAGCTGTCCGATTTTACGCTCAATAGTGTCTGAAGTAGGATGTGGTCTAGCGCGCTTGAGAGCCCTTCCTAATGCATACTTGAGAGTTGCAGGTCTGACATGGCCAAGGTTTTTTGCTTTACTGTGGGGGCATCATTGTTTCAGGCATGTTGGATGGGTTTCTAGAGGGGCGAGGGCTGAGGAAGGGCTGTGTAAGGCAACCTGCAACCCCACCCTGTCATCTCTGCCTGAGATCAATGCTGAAAGGCTACAGAGATCTTCAAAGGCATTGACGACAAGCTCTGCCAGGCTCCCCTTGCTGGCGTGGGGGCTGGGCACGTAGTTATGTAGTTATGCTGCAGCGGAATTTTCATCTTCGGCCACAAAATCCTGACGTTTCACACCGAACTGCCAGAACTTAGCTATTTTGATTCACTGTCCCAAAGCAACTCGCCGCTGGAGATGGAATGACAGGAAATTCATGTTTGTTGGTATTCCGGCAACCGAATTTGAGAAGAACATCTGCAAAATGACATCTGCATTCTAGCTCCTCATCCCACGGTGTATCAGATGCTTCCAGCTGGTGAGGCCATGTCCCTGCACATGGGCGCCGCCACGGAGGCCCGGGCTGGTGCCTGGAACCCAGGCTGAACAGATCTCAGGAGTTTAGGATTTAGGGTAGGGTAGAGGGGTTCAAGGGTTTAGTTGCCGCATGATGGATATCCATCCAAGTGTAGCTGAACACAGGGCACAGAGCTCCTACGTAGCCTTTGCGCCTGCTCGAACCTGCAGCAAAGCCATGAGGTCCTGGAGATGGCTATCCGGCTAGGCAGGAAGTCGCTCAAGCCCGCTTCTCAGGCGTGGGATTTTCTCATCTAAGCCATGCGAAATTATCAGGGGCCCTTTTCGGGATCACCGGTATCCTGGGGGTCGTTTCAGCATGTGGTAGGCCTTTCCCGAACTTGTGCTAATCAAAAGGGCGTGGCAACAAAGAAGAAGAGATCACGGTCAGTGTGTCAGAAGAGCTTCAGTTGCAGCACGCCCCAAACTGTCCCAAACTGATACCACCGCTGCTCACTAGGTTACTAGTACTTGCACCGATGCTCTGTCGAAATCCGGCTGACATTGGTAGATGCTGTGTTCCCAAGTGGCTTGGAAAGCAGCATGTATGGTTGGCTCCCTTCAGGGCAGCTTGACACAAGCTCCTTGCACATCAAAGGGGTGGTTGCAAGCAACGATTTTGAATGCATTTGCTTGTCATCTCGTCTCCGTCCCAGGCTTCTGCAGGAAGGTGGCAGCAAAAAGCAGCAGGTGCTGCCCTGAGCCCGTGCACGTGCGGTTTCAGCTAGTTCATGCTTGTGCCTGCTGGCGAGGGCTTCGTTTCATGTTCAGGGGGGAGTGATGGAGCCCTTGAGATTCTCTGGAGGTGGATATAGTGGGTGTGAGACTGTCAGGGTGTGCCTGTGGTAGGTGTGTGCCTGTGGTAGATGTTTTTTGAGAGAAGGCACCCGCAGAGCGTTCCTTCTTATGCAAGGCGGCAGCGCTGCCAGCCTATCAGAATCTAACTGCAAGACCATAGAACATGACGCGACAGCTGAAACTACAATGTTCAAGAATGGGATCCTTATGAGAGTGATTCATACCTGCAGATGGCAAGCCTCCTTGCCCTGGGCCAGTTCTACTTGATGCGGGAGGCGCCGCGACAGCAGCGGTAGTGGGAAATCCCTTGACCTCTCTACCACGCTGGGCGTATCTGCACTTGGTCGCAAACATTCACAAACATTTGTCATTACCAGCAGCCGGACCAATTTGGGGCATGTCATTTAGTCTTGTGATGGTGTTCTGAAGCCAAATGACCTGAACCTTCCCTATGCTTGGCAAGGCGAAGTGCACTGCTGAAACTAAGACACTGCTGAAACTAAGACTTGAACTTCTTACACGCAAGCCGAAGCATCCAGGCTTGGACCCAGAATCCAAGGCTTGTAGCGAGTAGCCCGCCTTCACTTGATCCCAATCAAGAAGCATTGGATCCATAACTTGAGGGCATGCAGAGGTTGGCAAGCAGCGCCTTGTCAGGACGCCAGGCTATCTCTGTCCATGGGAGAGGCTGCCATGGCGCTCCTGCAGGCAGCTTCGCGTTGGGTTTGTTTTGGCTGGGGAAACCTGAACGGGAGAGTTCTTTCCTGCACGCAGCTTAAGAGGCGTGCTGGGAAGTGTTGCGAGGGACGGGCTGTTTCCAGCGGGCACCACAAAGTGTACAAGTGAGCAGTTTGGAGGATGGCTCTGCCGAAGCTTCCGCGCTGTGATTTGCACCAGGAATCTCAGATTTCCGTTGTGTTAGAGGATTCGGGTAAAATCTTGTTTTAGCACAAGCAAACTTTTGGATTTTCAGCTGGTTAGCAATGTGGGATTGCTTCCATCATGTGTCTTACCACTATGACTCTATGAGCAGTGTTCTGTTTGCATGGATGTCAGACTTGAAGCCAGTGTCCTTGAGCTGCCTTTGCAAAACGGGATTGTCAGAAACCTGTTTTCAAGTTGACCACTCCACTTTTCACATAGGACAAGAGGAAACTTGAAGCTAAAAGGGAGGTCGGTCATGATAACGGGGAGAGACGACAAGTTCCACGATCCACGGCTCAAAGACTTCTGTACGATCAGGAGTTAGACGACGCCATCTCCTGGGAGGCTCGGTCGACACTCTCTGCACATCTTGGGCATCTGAAGTTCGTGTCGACCAGACAGATGGACTAATGAGAGAAGATGGCGTTGTCTATGCCGGGCTTCCTTAATGCTGGATGGAAGCATGTACAAGTAAATCCTGACAAGGGCGTGGCCATCGGCTTCATCGTGGAGGCGTACATCCTCAACAACCAGTCAGACAAGGCCAGCAAACTGGGGGGAGTAGCCCCCACTTTACTGTGGGGTAGCTTTGAGTTTGCCCTTGTAAATGCTCGATCTTTCAAGCCTCAATCAAGAACATCATCGCTGTGTAAATTTCTGATTCTAAAGCCCTGCCCTTGCTTGCTTGCAAGCCATCGTTTCACCCCAAACCTGGTGGGTTCTTACCGGGCAGTTAAGGCAAGAAGTAATTCTGCGGTCTCAATCATTGCTCCTTGGTCTTCTATTCATCTGGGGCGCCTGCAGAAGCAGGATACATCAACAGAGGCATTTGCAAGATACTCGATGTTCGTGAAGGTCTCCATGTTTAATATTTCTGTTTCTTCTAGTGTGAATGCAACACTGAGGCATGATGCCGCAGGCCTAGCCCCACAGTGGCGAGCACACACTAAACTGTATCATATCCTGTGCTATCAGTTCTGAGTAGTCCACCGTAACGACAGGACCCTGCACTGCAGCATAAATCCTGGTAGTCGCCCGCGTTAAGCCTGATCCGAGCTTTTAAACCAGCAGACCTGTCACCGGAAACATTCTGCCATCATACCCTTCGCAGGCCGTGCAGGTTTGCAAGGACGCGCTGGAGCGCGCCAGGCCACGAACGGACCAGAAGAGAGAGGCACCTGCAGAGATGGACAAGGTTGTAACATTCGAGAGTGATCATGTGACGACTTACTCCGTCAAGATGGGATCTCAAAGATTTTCGATGGTGGCGAAGCATGATGATCAGGGTCTGTGCAGCAGCGTTGTGATAGGGAGTGCTGTTAGTAATGCCTGCAAAGGCGTTGCCTGGGGAAGTCGGAGGTGGTGGCGTGCAGTTGTAGAGGTAGCGGTAAGCACGCTGGGTAATTGTTTGATTTGTCTCAGGAAGCTGGGCTGCAGGCGCTTGTTGAGCTGAGTGCCCGGCAAATCGTAAACAGGGATGGCAACTCAAGTTCTCGCACTCAAGACTACAGTGTCTCCGGTGCCAGACCGTTTACCTCCTGCATCACTTGATCCATGCGCTGTCTGTCTACGGCGACATCGACCAGGTCCTGGAGGCCCGATTACGGTGGGGCAGTTTGACTAGTTGAAGCGAGCAATGCCAAGAGAGCGCTGAAGGCACTGAGGGTAATCACACAGCCTGGTCTTCTGTTTGCAGAGACTGCGATAATTTTGCAATGGTCACTGCAATGGCACAACTCAGAATCAGTGATCAAAGATGATATGAATTCGTACCTGAGCGTGAGCATCTTAACTTGGAGGAGCAGGTCCTACCTTCTTGCTGAGCAAAACATGTCGATACCTTGCACCGGCCGAAATGTGGATCATTTTGCGATGAAGACCAGGTCATCAAGGTCAAAATCAAAGCAACGAAGCAATTCGTGACGTCCCTTCACAGAACGCACATCGATGGACAGACTCCTCCACTGTAGGAATGCCCTTTGTCTCTGGCGCTCCATCTCCGCAGGTTTCCGAAGAGGCCCTAGCGATGTCCACAGAAATCGGCTGTAAGCTTGGTCCCCAGAAGTGCCTGGGAAGATTTTGAGTCTTTGGTGTGTAGGATGAGGACAAGAGGCCAGCTTGTTGAGAGGCAATCGTGGGCGTAAGTCCCTCTCATCTCCACAGAGTGTTTGTACACTTGAAGGTGTTGACAACACCTTCTACAACTTCTACTCAGCTACTCTCCTTTGAGCACATCTGAATGGGACGGAAGACCTTGATCACACATCCATGGCGCTGGTCTGCTTCACAAGTGAACGACGAGGATAGTATGAGTTCTGTGTGCAAGGCGACTGAAAGCGCACGTCTACGAAGAACTCAGCCACGCGCACTTGCTGGCAGTGGCCTCGGCGGAGCGGAATGTGTGGAGGGAAGAGGTTTGAGGTCTCGAACAGGATGAGCTCAAGCCAAGGATGAAGTGCGTGAACAAGCTTGACTCAGACCGTTCCAAGTGCTCTGTCGGAGAGCTGTATCTCATGAAGCTTATGGTAGATTGGGCAAAAGGGACTGTTTGGCTCAACGGCATGTCTGAGGCCGAGCAAAACAATGATGCGCTCTATGCTGCAAAGGACATTTGCTGCGATCTACTCAGGGTTTTGACAGTCGTGGATGCAAGGATGTCCCAAAATCAACCTGGCTTACCGAGCAAACGCGGCGCATGCTGATGCGCAGAAACATCTCTGCGTGTTTTGGTTTTGCGATCCTGACCTGCGAGCATGAGCCAATGGACAATGATCTCAAAACCCTGACGATCTTACCTCTCAGAAAGCTTCGAAGAAGGCCGGACTGACTTGTTGACATTTTACGCTGGTCCCGCAAAGAAGCAAGCATAATAGTCACAGGCAGAGTCGCTGGTTTCTGAGAGTTTCAACCCAAGAATTGGCTTTTGGGGATGCGCTGCAGATGCTGCAAGCTATTTACAGCGCTCATCCTAGTCTTTAGTCATTGAGCTGAAGGGCAAGGGCGACGCTTAGGCACAGCGCTTACAGCTGGAGTGATGCTAGATGCTAACAGGCAAGCCGGTGGTATCGCAAGCGTTGAACACACGAGAATGCCTAATTCCTTGCGCAATCACCTTTCCCGGTCCCAGCCTGGCAGCATTGGCAGACTTCCCGCAGGAGGCAGTCAGCCTCCTCAAGGACCTGGGCGCGGACCACGATGAGATCACAACGCGGCTCCAGGCGAGGTGAGTTAGCGATGGTTAGCGATAATGGGCATTAGAGGACTTGACGCTGCTTGTTTCCGAGGGTCCAGGGGAAGGAGTGGTGTCGATGTCTGTAGTCTGGCTGCACTGGATCTGTGTCAGATAACCTCACAGGGAGCTCACCGAAACAGGAGTGATTTGGTTCGCTACATCTTGCGGGCATCCTTGCAGCGCCCTTCCGAGAACGCCTGCCAGAGTTTGCCGGTCAGGTTTTGACAAAGGTGCTCATCATCCAGGATAACTACCAGGAGGCTGCCAACCAGATCGAGTTGGCCAAGGACGCGAGATGTCGCAAGTATTTCGAGTTTGCTCAGAGTTGGGGTTGAGAGGCAGTGATTTGGATCGGAAGCCTCCAGACCAGACTTCGCAGTTCTAAGGTGCGTACCAGGTTGCTGCAGGCTGGAGGTGAAGGTTGAAGGGTCGAAGCTCTAACTGCATCTGCTTGTCAGGAGCTTGCGCAGAAAATCGTGTGGCACCCAGACGCTGTCTGTTGAAACAACTGGTGCGCCAGCCTCCCAAAAGCATAAAAGCGCGGTCCACTCAAAGTATTGTTTCATTAAACCCGTGCCCAATGGCAATTTATCAGCAAACACATCTAGTTCGACCTGATTATTGGCACCTGCAGGTGGATTCAGGTCTCTTCGTACAGGGCCCGATCCTTGTCAGGAGTAACACCAGCAGCTACCAAGTAGCTAGCTGGTACTGCCAACAACCTTGACTACAAGTTTCTTCCGATATTTGCATATGCTTTGCTTTATCGACAACAAATACAGACGGTCTTAACTTCCTAACCTCTTGCCTAAGGAGGAGAAGCCGCTCGAGGCTTTCTGCCTTTCCATCCAGTCTCGTGCGCAGCTCAGTGCGTCAGCGTGCCTCGCTTCAAGTCCAGGACAGCTGCAAATTGTTAACGTAACAGAGGAATCTGGAAGTCAGCTGCGATCCGTGGCATGCAGGTGAGACACGGTGTCCCCTAAACTATGGACTAGAAGCCAGCCTCTCTAAGCAGTCCGCTTTCCCTTCGAAGATCTTCGAAGGCAAGCACCAGCCCCTAGCCATTACCTGATTGAGGTGTGCAGGCTCTTCTTGGCGATCCAGAGGGCGGAGTGAAGGCTACTGGCCTTGGATTGGAGGGTCTCAGGGTCTTGGGTTCAAGGCTTGCAAGGGTTCATGCGAGCTGAAACCAAGATTTAACAACATGTTGTAAACTGTTTAGCATCTGATTCTAACGTCGGCGGCTGAGTAATCAAGAAGAGGGCGAGAAAATGATGTACTTGCCTCATGAGGGGATTCTCGTGTCCAGGCTATTGGATTGTGCAGGCCTGACCCTCGGTTCCTGTCCCGCACAGGCTGCTGACTTAGCCATCGACATGTTCAAGGAGGATGGAGACAGGACAGCTTTGATTGGACGTTCCTTTCGATGTACGATTGTGCACAAGTCATTGCTAGTGAAGATGCGGCGGGCGGATACCGATATCAAAGCTGGTGTTTTATGCTAGCTATAGTAAACGCAGCATCCCCTTCTTAGGGCTCCAGATATGTTTATTCCTGCCAAGCAATACTTTGCAAAGAGATTGTTCAGCGAAGCCAAGCTTCAAAAGCAGGTCTGATTGCTTGATGAGGCAGACCTACCAAAATGTATGGCCTTCCTAGACGGTCTGTATTCCCCGCCAGATAAGCCATTTGGAGCGTCGAACTTGCAGGAGAGGCGAGTGCCGAGTCTGGGAGGGTCTCTCAGAGCCTGGCGCCCAGGGCCCTCGTCTGCCCCACACTCCCAAAAGACGATCCAAGTAGAGGGAATGCAACAGCAGCTAGAGTAGGCATGAAGCCTCTACCCACAAGAAACTTTTTTCTGCTCAACATTCCAGATCAACTGACAGCCGATTTGATGTTGTACATGTTTGTGTTTCTTGCTCTGCTTTTCCCACGGCATGCGGGTGCTGCTTGTGCCTGTCTATTGTGCTGGACGTGGCCATCAGTGTATGCTGTTTCGGGAAGGGCTTTTGAGCTTTGGACATTGTAGTGCCCTCACCTGCCGGGTGCGGGCGATAGAGAGGGTTGGAAAAAATCCAGAGCCCCCAAGATTAAACAATGTTGCTAAGCTGATCTAGGCACGCCTTTTGAGGTTTGACAGGTAAGCTCTTCAACAGCTTTGCTTTGCTTGGCTGTCCAATTTGCTTATTTGTTCTGCCGTTTTTAAAGCCTTAAGCTTTCAATCCTCTAACCCTGAGCGCCGAGCAACATTTTTTTAGCTCCGAGCAGGAGAGTCGCTCCGCAAAAGCCTCTGTCAAGGATCCACATGACAGCAAATGACTTCTCCTCAGCGCTCCGGGCAGCAAAGCGCGCAGAGGCCAACTTCTTGGAAGGGAATTGGGACGTGACTGTGTAGGGGGATGGAGGGGGATCCGTCTCCTGCCTCATTGGGACAAGCTCATCCTTTTTCTTCGGGCAAAGGGCTTGATACGCTGTTGTGTTGGTTGGTGGTTTCAGAAAGCTGCACGTCTTAAGCAGCACATCGGGCCTTTCCCATGTTGTAAAACGGATGCTGCACGGATCCTGTTGTTGATGTGCCATCATGGCTGGCATCTCTTGCAGTCTGTGTCTCCTACCGCCCCAGACTCTCTGTGCGGATGTCGGAGACACTCGCCTGATGGCGAGAATGAAGTTTGCGGCCCAGTCTTCAGATGTACATGGGAGGCACGTGTTCTCAGTGTCTGAAAGTCCTGCATGCCAAAATTTGATGTATCAATGTATCAAACATCGAGGCACACGACTTCCATGGTGCACATGTCCGCGGACGCGCATGATGAGGCAGGAAACATGGCATCTTGCAAGTGGTTGTTTCACGAATTGGAAGATGCCGAAGGCAAAAGCTGCCATCACCGAAGCGATCAAGCTCTCGCGTGCGGACGATGACATGAGAGGGTTTGGAGCTCGGGATCAGAATGTGGTGCAGTGTTGGCAAGGGACCCCAGTTTCGAGGACGGTGAAGTACATCTTCCTGGCCATGGACATCTGGGTGACATCGCTGACAGCAATGGACCCCGAGGACTGGGAACAGCTTTCCGCGCAAAGAGGATGCTCGAGATGTATCCTGGACGCAGGATAAGAGCAAGGTCAGAATCTACAGGCAGAGAGGGGGACGCTTTCTTTCAGCTCCGGTTGACAGCCTGTGTCCGCGACGCTTTCAGGCAGGGATGCGAGAAAGCAATGCGGCTGGCAAAGGAAGCCGTCAAGCTAAGCATTCGTTTGATGCTCAGCGCACGGCTTTCGCCTTGCATGAGCCAGTGAGACTTTAGTGGTATACGTGCTCAAATGGTGCGAATGGTTTGGTTCTCCTGGCAAGAGACGTCAGTGTCAGTGACTCATGTCAAAAGACCTGTTCTCCAGTTTACGTTGAATCTGCTGAGGTCTAGAAGATCGATATGCCGAGTGCATGGCCAACTACTGGGTGTCTGAGCTGAGAAAGCAGCTGTTGTTGACAAGTCTGCTAGGAGTGAATATGATTCGACACTCTGCTTGCTGGGCGTGAGGTTCCTGGGTCGCAAAACCCTTGCTTGCAGAAACTGATCGAGAATCGTTCTCCAGAGCTAATAATAAGAGACATGCATGTATGTAAGCAGATGTTGCGCCAGATCCCTTTTGCTAAGGTTGGCACCATGCACATCATGATGGGCATGCTGCTGAGATGGGTAGTTGCCGAGATGGTATGTCCTTTTGAGTACATGCTGTCATCCCTCTTCAGAAGCCAGCCATTTTCGTCTCGTTCCAGATCTCAATCTGAGAGTCAGCCCATGCCGTGCAAGCAGTACACTGCCGTAAGAGATCAAGAAAAGACGAATCATCCGTTGCCTCCTGATCCTTCTTCTCAGTCTATTCCTTGGCACCTATGCTGCTGGTGCTACCAGCAGTAGAAGGGGCGATGGTACGTGGCACGAGCAGTAGTAGTCGTGGTGGCGGTGGCGGTGGCGGCGGCGGTGGTGATGGTGGTGGTTGCAGAGGCGGTGGCGGCGGTGGCGGCGGTGGCGGTGGTGTTGGTGTTGGCCTTGGTGGTGGTTGCGGGCGCGGTATTTAGTTGAAGCAGCAGTCGTAACGTCGCAGTAGTAGCAGTAGTACCAGTAGCAGTGCCGGCAATGATGAAGTGTTCGCAACGGCAAAGAGGATGTCGACCGCGATGACGGCGAAAGCGACTTTGATGTCGGCAACAACTTCAACAATCCATTGCAGTTTTCATCCCCCCACCTGCAGCACCAGCACCACAGCCGCTGCGCCGCCGCCGGTGTTGCCGCTGCCGTTGTCGCCACCGCTGCCGCCAACTGCTACTTCTCATGTTGTATTTTCCGCTGTCTTGACCACCTGAGGCCGCCCCAAGGAGGCTCGCGTCAATGCTGACCTCTCTCTGGAGATCGCCAAGTCGAAGCGGGACATGCAGGGAACCCCGAGCGTAATGAAGATGTGTGATTTTGTGTGTGGGCGATAATGTGTCTGTTGAGGGTGTACACATGCGGTCGCATATCGTCATAACATAACGGCTTCAGTGTTGGCCACAAAGAGCCAGCACGAAATCACGACTTGAATGGGGAGGGTACAGGGGTGCTTAGCGGCTTGGTGCAGTCCATGTTGTTGATCCTCTGAAATTTCTGTAGAGAGACTTGCCAGCATGACCTGAATCACCCCAAGGGACCACGAATCCATTGTCCAACGGAGCAGCACGTGCAAATACATTTCCTGCATATGTTACTCTTCCTTGGACGCCGGTATCGCCCAGGAGCAGCTCAGGAATGTGCGACATTTAAAAAGCCTGCAATGAAGTTCTACTTGTCTTGCCAGGGGACGCAGATCTGAGATGTTCCTTAATCCCCAACCCCTTGATAGACCCATCCGCGATCCTGCCCGCTTAAGCACGAGAAGGACACGGTCGACAACAGTAAGTCGAAGTCGAGAACGAACGAGAGCGTCCATTTCCGTTCTAAGAATTTCATTGGGTTGTTTTCTGGCTCGAACTTTACACTGTGCTGAGACCACAGAGTAAAAGATTCAATGTGTCTTTCTCAGAAGGTTTACAGCATGGGTTTGTCTGCTTGTCACGGCGCTGATGCAATCCTTTGCGACTGAAAACACTCTCTCTCAAAACCATTTCAGCACCCAAAGCCTGAGCTGCTGAAAACCTTGAACTATTCAATAGGATGCCTAAACGTGGACCTTCCCTTTCGCACTAAGGCTCAGCGAGATGTATGCCCGTGGGCTACTGGTCCCAGCCCCAACGAAAACTGGTGAAAGAGTAGGTGGAGGAGGAGTAGTAGCAGAATTCGTGCAATTATAGCTCTACCCGTAGCCAGTAGTGGTAGCTGGTAGCAGCAGCAGTGGCAGCAGCAGTGATAGCAGCAGTGACAGCAGCAGCAGCAGCCTCGGCAGCGGCAGCAGCAGCAGCAGCAGCAGCAGCAGCAGCAGCAGCAGCGGCAGCAGCAGAAGCAACAACAGCAAGCGGCTGCTCTAGCATCTGCCGTAGCGCTGCCATTCCCCTCAGATATCCTCAGATAGTCTAGGACCCTAGGACCCCAAGAAGAATGTTTCACGTATCGTATACTCGACAAGTAAGACAATCAGGACTGAGTTGAAACATCTAGGAGATCTGGGCTTATCACGCTTCCGGAGAGAGTAGTAAGAAGTTGTTATTGATGCCGTCGGCTTGCGCATCGGCAGCTTTGGTAGTTTGATTTCAGCTCGGCAGAACTGGAATTTTGAGAGACGCGGCACCGTGCGGCAGAGTGTTTCTCGCTGTGCTCTAAGGTGCAGATCTGCCTTCAAGAGAAAGATGTCAAAGCTGCAAAGGAGAATCTCAAGGATGTGCAGGCTCGACCCCAAAGAAAAACCCGCCTCCAGCATTCACTTCGTAACGTCTGCTTCTGAACCATAATCCCTGAGCTTGCGCCTTGACTTGAAATACCATCTTGCACCGCTTGATTCTGTCCCACCACTGGGCTGCAGTCGGGCATGTTCGTGCACAAGGCTATTAAAGTCTGAACTGGCAGGGAAACCCGGCTTGAACTGTAAGATTCGTAGCGCTAACGCCAAAAGTCCACTGCAAACGACCCGTTGTTCCCAAGCATGAAGCGCAAGGTCCGATACCATTAGCCCGAAGGGGAGCCAAGCGGCAGTATTCTGACCATAGAACCCTCAGCCCCAAACCATGAAAGCCTAAACCTTAGTCCCCAAGTCCTTACCTTTAAATGCTAAAGAACGAACCCCTATACCTCGAGACATGTAACCCTAGACCCTAGAACCCTCAAACATCCGCACTGTACACACATGATCATCAGCCGTAAAGGCAAGCCCCAAACCCCAAACCACAAAATGCCGCGAGACGCTGTGGCTGACTCAAAGTCCGTGGGGCTCAAAAAATCTTAACAGGATCTTAAACTACTAGCCCCAAATGACCATGGTCCTTGCTTGTACTGAACGTCCGTAGAAACTGTGAAGCCCTGAGCATTCAGTAGTCCCTCAAACAGCAAGTCTGAAATCCGGAACCTATGCTATAGGCACAACTTAAGCCGTAAGCCCTACACCATTCAGCCTCATGCCTACACTAGAAAGCACCGGAGCCCAACAGCATAGAAATCCTTGTGGTCCAAAGCCACACTCCGTGTTCTTCTCAGGGCCTGGCCGAAGAGCTGGGAGATCCTCAAGGCCAACACCCCGATGAAAATGGAAACTACTACAATGGGTTATATTGGTTTGGGGTTTAGGGTTAGGGAAGAAGAAGACTTTTGGATGACTTTTTAGGCGACAGCATGGGGCTTCAGTGTTTCATCTAAGGCTTACTTGCTGCACCACGGAGGTTAGACGGGGTAATATGGCGACAGCCTGCGGCTAGCCATCGGCTACTGTAGTGCCCAGTCGAAGTGGTGGGGTTAGTAGCAGTAGCGCTTAAGGTCGTGCACGAATGCCCGAATAGACAGAACCATCTCTACATTTCAGGTTGGAGTTTGAGGGTGAAGGTTGAGAGTGCTAGGCTTCGGGGAGCGCAGGGTTGCTGATTACTGGTACTTGCAGTTATGGGTTGCAGAGCTGGGGAGCTTCAGGACTTGTTGGGGTCGTTTGGTGTGTGAGGCGGTGCAGCACAGGCGGCTGCAACGCTGGCGGATATTTCTAAGACAGCCGTCGTTTTCTTCACATAAAAATCCACCAGAAGTCGGCGCACCTCTGGATGGAAACAGCCACAGTTGACAGTTATTGTTAAAGATCAAGGTGCATGTTATAGCAAACGTCTTGCCAAACTTAGCGGCAATCAAGCCAACTGAAGCCAGAAATTTGGCATCATAATTTTTGCACCTCTTGCGCGTTTTGAGTGTGGCAGTCTCTAAACTTATCCAAGATCCAGAAACCATCCTTGAGCCGCGGAACCTCTTTCTGTAGCTTGAAGCACCTTCAAATCCTGCCATGCTCGCCAGCCAAAGCTATGGCGGATCAATTGAAGGAGCTGGTAATGGGTCCGAGCCTCTGCAAACCTTGCACTTTGAGTGTAGGGCCAGGAAGACAGGATTTCCAGCAGAGTTGGGGTGTACTGGGCGTTTGAAGACATGTGGTTTTGGGTATGGCCAGGGGCCAGTGATTGACGATGACGGTGAAGACGCACATCTTGTGCTTTGGGGTTGCGGCTGGTTGTTCGGCTTGTTTGCTGTGTGATTTTGTTTCTATCGTTTGGGTGTAGTGTTTCATCCTAGATCAAGGGGCCTTCCTCTCAGGTTGGGACTTTAAGGTTTCAGGCACGGCAACATTCTTGTGGATCTTGTTCCGGCTTTGGGTCGTTATGTGCTGGCGACTCGGCTCTTGCCAGCGCTATCATTTTGAACAAGTATTGGGCAGATTCCAGTCCTGGTCTTAACTAGACCCCCAACTCTGCATCTCTGAAGCATTTGCAATTGCCATGCAGCTGCTTCAACAATAGCAACTGCAGTCTCGGAACAGCTGTAACAACATTTTGCCATTGAATGTTTCATGGAACACTGGTGCTCTGTAGGGCTCCTATTTACGATCCCTTTCAACATGACGGAGTCAGCACAACTATCAGCCATATTTTTGGTGCGGTTGCCGGGTTTTCCCCCTTCCTGTCAAGATCCAGACTCAAGTCCGGACATCCCACGCATGGACAGATAACAGAACTTCGTTCTGAGGCTCCGGCGTGCAGGAGGCAGCGCCGCAGGCGCACCTTGTGCCTTGCTCCAGGTGAGTGGTGATTGGAGGGACTAATGGCACTCCAACTGTGGAGCAAGATTCCCTTTTCTGGGATCTGCGTCTCAACAACTGAAAACCATGCTTAGCTCCACATGATGGCACCGGTGTGCTAGCTACTGTCTTGGATGCACTGAAGCTTTCAAACACGCTGTACTTGCTGGGAATCATCTGTTACCAGGACATCATGGTATCAGCCTCAAGATCCGACCCTAACTGACGATCTCGAAGTGTAGTAGGCGGCAAACATCCATCCCCTGCCGCTGTTCAGGGGCTCTGAACCTTAACGCTAGGCTTGAACGGATTTCTGGAGATGCCTTGTGGCAGGCGGCAGCGATGGCCGCACCAGTTCAGGAGCTTATTGCGCACGTTTGGTCTGTTGGGCTGTGATCATTCCCAGAATTCAAGGGCATTGTCTTCGCCTATGCACTTCGATCCAGGTCGACCTTAGCACGGCGCCTCTGTATATCAAGGGGTCTCAGGTGCAAACGCTGGAAACCCATTTTTGGTGTGTACCGTTTCAACCTCTCTCAGCCTAAGCTAACCCTCATCGATGTGCGTCCGAAGAGCTACCTGACTGGAGGAAATGGGTGGAGCTTCCTCCGCAGCAGGCCCTGGCGAAGAGCTTGTCCTTCACTCAGCTTCAGACTTCATGGTGTGGAGGTTTTGGACTTATTGGCTTAGGCGTGCAGGGGTTTACGGTTGTCACGCAGGTCCGATGCAGTCTGGACTCTTGAGCATCGCAAGCCAATCAGAAGCAGTCAGGGTTGATAGCCGAGAAACCGGACTGGCACAACCAGGAACTGCATAATCGTCATGATCACGTAGGGAGTTTGTTCAGGTTTGACAAAGAAGCAGTCCATGGTAGTACACTACAGATACTACAGTCCAACAGTGCTTGTTTGGGCTTGCAGTGAACGCGGGGAGTCGTGCAGGACGCTGACAGTAAGTAGAACTTATCACCTCCGAGCAAAAGAGTCATAAGAGGCATACATCGCACCAGATCCACTTGCCATCAAGCCACGCACTCAGCGCTGCTGTTGTAGATCAGAGGCCTTTCAATCAAAATGATGTAGCTGCCAAAGCACCAGGACTCACATCATCGCCATGGTGAAGAACATGGTCGGTGGAGGTGACGAGGTGGATGGTGACACTCCGCTCATGGAGCTTGCGCCTCGGAGCTTACGCAGCCTCCTTTAGCAAGCCTTGCTGATCACCTTGCCTACCATAATGAAGTGCATCGGCTTTTGTGTAGGGAAGGAGGCTGGGGGTGTCCGAAACGAATTGTCGAAGCGGATGCCCGCACAGAAAGTCATCCCCATGGATGAGATCCGCAGGCCACATTTGCCGCGTTTTGCGACCATGCTTTTCACAACCTGCTCCATGCAGAGTACCCGGATTACATTTGAACTCAACACAAAGAAGAAACAACACAGCCCAGCTTGTTTCAAGCAGATGTGTAAGTCCTGTTTTATTAGCACACGCAGTTCCTGTGACATCGTCAGGTCTGGTGTGGATAGCTTGGCAAGTGTGGAGCTCCGAACGCAGCTGCAAGGGGTAAGCCGCCGCACTGTTTTCTGCTGCTCTAATTCCTGCATAGCAAGAGCACAACATCTACGTAATGTGCACACAGTTTATGCTCTTCCATTCTCATGGGTTCCTTCCAAGCAATGCTTGTCTGGCATGCCAGGAGTTCAAAGTGAACTTGCCTTCCACGGTCATGTTCAACTACCCCACCATCGAGGGCTTGACTGGGTGGGGTCACTCAGGATGTGGTTCTGCTTATCACTACTGACTTTTGTTGTAGCATGTTATATGTGAAGCTGACATATACATTTTTCGAGCACTCATGAAAATAGCGAAGAAGGCTTTTCTTGCCATTCTTCTTGTCCCGACCATTTCTTCAGATGATTTTTTCCGAATCTTCTCGTCAGTAAGGCGGTTGGTTCTAGGATGACAACAGTTCAGCAACGCTGGTCTGATTGTCCTAAGTGCTAGCAAGTTGCTTCAGATTGCCCCAACCAAGCCTTTGACTATCAGTTGCCTCGCCACGTAGTCGGCCTACAGCCACTGCTCCATCGATTCATAGTAGCGCTTGCACCAAGATCCTTTAGACTCAGAGCAAAGTGGAGGGACTAGACCAGAATTCATCTGCATGCAGTGGGCTTGCCCGATTTCAGACCCCTTATTTGCCTGGTCATGTTGGGGAGCTGCACTGGCAGCTCTGCGCCAGCATCAGCATACTCAAGCCCGGTATAAAGGTTGATGCAGACGCCCTGCCCAGGCTTCTTATTGATGAGTGCACGCAAAAGAAGATCACCTGGAGCGGATGATGCGGACGAGGAGCCAAAGTCACGCAGACTTGCGCTTAGGTAGGAGAAGCGCAATTGCATGCATGGACTCGCAGCTATGATAGCTATGCAGCAAGTCTTCTTTTGCTGGTGCATGGTTCAGTGCTCGAGGACCCCTGCGGCGGTGTGTGAAAGGCCACGTGGTCAAACAGCTGGCAAATACTACGTGAACGCTTGCTTCAATTAATTTTCTGCAGCTTTGCGTTGGCTCCAGAGGTTCAAGCATGAGGAGGAGCCATGTCTTTTGCATAGGAAGATCTAGGAAGGCATTGATGGCATGGCCCCGTCATTGCCTGTGATTACACAGAGGCGACCGCAACGGAAGCCTACCGGCCACGAAAGTGCACAGGGCCGCAGGCTGCATGGGGTGGAGAGCTTGCCAGTGTTGCAGCAAGCGCCGGTGGTCACAACTGTGCACGTTTATGAGCACATTCACGATCACCATCACTTCGTTTTTCAAAGGCGGCGAAGGTCCTCCTCCGTGCCATCAGTACTTGAGCCACTGCCTGAGAGGCAGAGGCCCTCGATTCCAGAGGTGGCCGTGTTACCTGCCTGCGAGGCAGAACGAGTGGAGTGTGTGTTGCATTCGCCGCCTCCGCACCCTGATGCGGACGACAGTTTGCACCTACCACTGACGCTGGGACCAGACCACAGCTCGCAGAGCAATGATGATGCAGACGGCGGCAAAACGTCTCAGCCCTTGCAGAGTAGCAGTCTGTTGCAGGTGCTGCCGGATCGATCTCGAGGGCTGGAGAGCCGTGGCTCTGTGGCCTCTTCGCGTTTGTCCTCTTGGAATGTCAGCGATGGCGATTCCAAATCACGGGGCAGCAAGGAGCCGCCTGCAAAGCTGCGGCGGGTACGGTCAGTGAATAAGCTGCAAGCGCCCGAGGACAAGCTTTCGACGAGGCTCCGAGTCCTGGAAGCCGAGAGCCGTTGGTCCGATCGACGCAGAGACTTGCGACGTTACATTCGAGAGCTGCCGGATAGCTCGAAGTCGAAGGCCAAGCAGAAACTTGTAGGCCAACAGGTTACGGGCACTCTCATCGACAAGACTCGGAATTGAGACAAATATTCAGCAAGCGTTATCTTCGTGCCTTTTTACATTTTCCACTAAAAGAGGGGTCAGATGGAGATTTGCAGCTAAGGCTGGAGACGCAGAAGGCAAGGGACACCCAGGAAAATCGTGACATTGTCCACCACATCGAGAAAGAGATCCATGCCTGCAGCCGCTCCCGGCACAAAGTTATGCGCATGCAGCTAGGGTGGTGTTGAAGGCACCATTTTGGCTTGCAAGGTTTTTTTTCAACATGCAAAAACGAGGCGTGACTGCTCGTGCAACGTAACGCGCGACTTTCAGCAAGTAGTTTTCAGGGCTTTCCTCAAGCAGGGCAGCTGCCTTAATCCGATTCAAGGCAAGCTGCCCTACGGCGCCGACTTGGGATGCATTCCGTGGAGCTGATGGAGTGGCAGCGTGAGGGCCAAGGAAACGAAGCTGGAACGAATCGGGAGGATGCAAGCGCGCTTGAGAGCTGAGCTCCTTCCTTTTCCTTTTCTCGTTGTGGACGGATGTAAGAGCTTACTGGCACAAACAAGACTTGAACAGAACCAATAACAAAGCCCAGACGTACTTTCGGGTAATTGCTTCCAGAGAGGATGACTTTACAGTATACCTTCTGGCTGACTCCCTGACGCTTATCACACTTCCAACCTCACTACAGCAGGCCCACATGACAAATCCAAAGTGCCACGCCTGATGCCCCGAATCTCCCGCCGCCCGAGGAGTAACCTGTAGTGTCTAGGTTTTGCAGCGCTGTCGCTTTGAGGCAGCTGCTGCATGGATCGTCTCTTTTCAAGGTGTGTGCTTGGGCTTCGCAACTTGACCATGTGTGCTTTTGGAGCTGAGTGTTTGTAGGATCTTGCAAGAAAGCCCGACCCGAAGGTTCACCTCGAATTCATAGGAGACAGTTACCCTCCCAAGGAGGAGACAGCAATGCTTTCTTTTAAAAGGGTGCTCTGCAGTGCCAAGATATGCCGAACAAGCTCTCCCAATCTGTAAGATAATCCTGCATGCTTCCCACTGCTTGTAGCATCTTGTAGTAAAATTCATGCGCATAGGGGGCGTGGTGTTGTTGCAATGCCTCAGAGTCCCATTCTGATTAAAGTATAATTCTCCTCTCCTTTTTGGCGTGGAGGTGGCGGGGGCAGGGCAGGGGGGGGGGGGAGAAGGAGGAGGAGGGAGGAGGAGGAAGAGGAGGAGTGGCTGTTGCCAGCGTTGCCGCAGCCAACAATTGTAGCATGGGTTGGGGTGGGAGTAGCAGAACCTGCAGCTGGAAAACCTGAGCACAACATAAGCAACAGCAACGTGATGGTTGTCTGCGGTACCTTTATAGTCACATCCTCTTTGCTGTTTGAAACATTGACTTTCTGATCTAAACGCATCACGATTTGAATTTCTCCATGTTCGAAGCGGTCCTTGAAAGTTGGCCGTGCATGCTGCATGATGCTACACCTGCCTTGCAACAGTTGGACTCTTGCATCGAAGTCCGTGTGATCGCATGTTTCCCCCTCAACGATCTTTGAAACACCGCTGCTCTGCCCTACGGAAGGTTTCCCTTTGTTTACCCAGGCTGTCTCACTGTGCGACGTTATTCTAATTGTTACTAATTGTTGCCAATTCCCACAAAGCACGTACAGAGCAACACTCCCATGACGCGTCATTAGTTTGAATGGCTGAGACGACAATCTAGCATTCCCGCAGCCCTAAGCTGGGATTGGCAGCTGCAGTCCCACTTGTCAGCGCATTCTTGCATGTCTACACATTTCTCCTTTGTTGACAGGAGGCTCCTCCCGACAGCAATGATGTGAGGGACACCTGGATGGCCAGGTTGTTGGATCTTCCGTGTTTTGAACGAATAGCAACAAGAACGTCAGTAGTCCAGCAGGTCTGGGCAGCTACCGCAGCCCAGGTCAGAGAACCCACATCCACATATCCACAGTCTGCATTAACAAGGCATCGAAGACTAGGCTACGAAAAGCATGTGCAGCTTGCTCAGCTGCGTTGCTCTTGAGCCAAAGCTTGACGTGAGCCTAGCAGAGATCCCGACTGGGTCTCATGCGGGAGTGAATGGGTGAACTCCTACTACAAGCTTATAAACTCTCGCAGATCAGTACTCAGTCGCCCACTCCTCTCAAGAACCAGCTTGGTGGTGCGACATGGCCAGCTTGGAACCTGCGCGGATCCACTCCACCAGCATCACAAAAAAAGGTGCAGAAGAGAACGATGCTCCGAAAACATGTTGAAGAGTTGCCAGAATTTTACGTGGACATTGTTTGTCAGAGCTAGCGCTAGGGCTGTGAAATTGTATACTTGCAAGCACCTGAGGTAGCATATCCGTAGCATGCACATATACACTTGATCCGCCGCGCAGCCTTGTGTTGGTCTTGGGCTGGAGATTTTTACGAGCCATCCGCCCAAAATTAAATTAGCTCCCCTAGTTGAATAGAGAAGCTTTCATGTCCCTCTCCCTTGAGTACTGGTCGAGGGATTTTGCCCAAGAGGCTGGTCCACTTGCACAGAGATGCTATCTCCCAGCTACTCGTGAATTCAAAAGGCTGCATACCCAAGTGGCCCAAGTGGCCAGGTCTATGTCGGGCGCGGCGCTTCGCGTGTGCGGGATCTCTTTAAGCAGGCGGATCTGGGGACTACAGCAATCTGTAGTGTCTTGAGCAGTATGTAGTGTGTGCTTGTGTGTGTATGTGTGACCGGGCAGTACAGGTTTCTCTTCGGAGTATGTTGGGATCTTCTGGCTTGCACGGAAGACTTGTAGTCCAGTTTTCGAATTTCTCACGTTGAACAAGGAAGCCCTGCCATGGTTACTGTAGCTCGTCCATATCAGTACGTAGCATTTCCTTGTTCTTGAGATATCTTGCTGGACCGCCAGCTGTAATGACGGCTTACTTCAGGAAAGGCTGGTCTGATCCGGGCACAACTGGCGCCAGAGTCGTTTTGCAATGAGTTCTTTTTCTTTAATGGGGTTTGGTCCAATCAAGGGGATACCTCATCCAGCAATTGTATTGCAACTGCTGGCCACTTACTACGCCTGCCTGCCACGCATATTGCAGCTCATTCTTCTTCACCTGTGCTGCCACTGCCTGCGTCATCAGTTTGGTAGGCTTTCGTCCCCCGCCCCTGGGCGGGGACTTGGGACAAAGAAAGCTTGCTTGACTTGTTCAATAGGCCAACCTCCATATCACCAACAGAAGAAGCTGGCCTACCAACCCAAGGAACCCGAGCTGTGTCGGACAAGGGAGAAGCTATCATAGGCTCAGGGTCCCCGCCACACATACCTCATACCTCTAATCAAGTATTTCTACATGTGCTGGACCTGAACCTCCCTTTCCCTTCCCATGACCGTTTGCCAGGCAAGAAGCATGGCTCCCGTCGTGCTTTTCTTGGATGAGCTGGATGCGCTCGGTGCCGCAGCCGGAGATTCTCAGGTACAGAGTCCTAATCTAGATTTGCATCGTATTCTTGCAAACTGGGCTTCAGGATGAGGCATTGGCTCGAAATCGGCTCGAAATCCTAAACCCTGGCAACTAAGCCCTCTGTCGGGGTTCATTCATTTGGTACCTAAGTGGAGCCGAAAGGCGTGAACCCCCCGCCCCCCCCCCCTCCCCCCTATCTGTAAGATCCCAAACAATTAATCTTACATCGGGCAAAACTCTTTGATCAAGGGTGCCCATCAAGTTTGTGGGACCTTGCCATCTTGGGGTGCGGGGCAGGACCATATCTTCGTTCATGATGAATGGTGATGCTCAGACACAGGTTGCTGTTGTCAATGTTACCCTCTCCATTGCTTGGTTAAGATGGCGAGTACTGCCACCAACACTGTTGGAGCCATCCATGCTGGTACCGCCATACTTTTCAAACGCATCCAGGTTAGGATGACGTCCAGATTGCCAGGTACCCGCACACGGGGTAACAGCCTGGGCGGGAGCGAGGCCTGGCTCCAAGTGTCGAGCCAGAAGAAGCTTTCTCTTCGCTCTCGGGGTGGTTATTTGTTATGCTTGCTACATCTTGTCGTTGTCAGCAGGATCATGGTCGGTGTTGGCGACGTCGTCGCAGTTTGTAAGCATTGAGAGTTCCCACTGAAAGCTTGTAGGGCTCGGGGCCCAAGCGCGCAGTCTGACACTTATCAAGTCCTTTCTTTGCCTGCGCTGCGCTTATTCTCCGATTGCAGCTGCTATTCTCTGAATGTTATGATGCGATATCAAATGATCATCGGACGATGGGAGTGAACCCGTGCCGGACGGGATTGCTTCGACCTGTCAGATGGATCTGGTGGCACCAGATTCTTCTGGAAAGTGTTTCAAATCAGTCCCACAGGTTGCGTAACTGCTGCTGAATGTCTTGAGGAATGGTCCCTGAAAAAGTCCAGTAGGGAATGCTGAGGTTTGGTCATTGGAACAAGGATTCGAGGTGCCCCATGGGCTGAGGGCGCTCAAGGCTGTGTGTGCTGTCAGGAGTATGTGCAGACTCTGAACCAGATCCTCACGGAGCTGGATGGGTCAGCGAGCTTACATCCGGTGTTTGCTTGGATAGGTTCAGAAATCGTTTCGGAAGGTCGGAATCGGGATGGAGCATTTTATGTTCTAGCAATTTGAGTGTCAGATGATCTTTTTGAAGACGCAGTGAACTTCTTCGTTTGCCAAGCAATCTCAGCACATTGGCCTCAGCCCAGCGAAGCCCAATCCAGGGATACTGTTCTAGTCTGAATCAAACCTTGGTGAGCCTTGCGTTATGTTGTTCTGTAATCCTGCCAGAGTTCCAGGCACTGTAGAAGGTGCCAGACCCATGATGGTTGTTGGAATGGGCACGGGTTCTGTGGTGCTTTGCCATGAAGTCTAGTCAAGGTTTCACGGGCACAGCGATGGCATTGTCATCCTTGGGGCCACGAATCGGCAAGAGGCTTCGCATATTCAGTGCATTCAGGTTTGGGCCTGCCGATTATTTGCATGATGAGTCAATGATGAGTGACCTCCGAAAAAAAAGCGATCCTCAAAAAAAGGCAGTTGGACCCTGAGAAGGAGCAGGAGCACTTTGGAGTCAGCGGTCTAGCGTTCATGTTCCATTCCCCGAGAGTTTAAGCTTTAATCAAGGATAGGGGCACTTGCAAGGGGCAGAGAGTGCTGGGCAGCATATCTGTTTCAGAAGTTTCGAAGCGTTTCATGGTCAGTCGCCACAATTTTTTCAAAGAGTTTCTTGTTGCAGGGTCTGGGCTTCGTAATTGTTGGGGCCGCTCTGAGAGAAGCCAGGTCTAACAATATATACCAGCATTTGGCCATGATGCCCTCTCCCTCGCAGGCTCATTCACTCTACCCCTTCACACGGCCGACCCACGGCTGTCAAGATAAATGACCATGCATCCTTATAATAATCAGTCGTTGAACATCTGACACGTCAACAGCAAAGTTGGTCATCCATTCATGGTCCCGGAAATGTGATGCGCTAGGCCATTGATCCCGCATTGTTGCGACCCGGTCGTCGGGGCCTCGTGCTTGCATGGTAGCTGGCTCGCCGATTTTCCTCATCTGTGGTTTCTCGGCTATTGCATTGCATTGCTGCGGATGCCTTCTTTCCTGATTAGGTACCTTGAAGGCTCGGGGTTATGTGAGCATGACAGTCCCAGCAGGCAGTTTGAGGAAGGTTTGAGCTCTTGCGCATGTGCGGAGTGGACGAGGTTTCGATCGATTTATCCAGGTGGACCTCCCAGATGAGGACGCCGATCTCCGAAATCTGAGCACCAAAGAGTATGTCCAGATCCGCTTGCAGGGAGTGATTTTGCAGTGCTTTCCCCACCAGGAATGAGACCCCTACTTGTATAGGCTGCCAAGAGATTTAGCTGTCATTCCGAAACATTTGGCAAGCTTCCACAGTTTCAATTGGAAGGGTGCCTGGGCCAGACTTAGGAAACAAGCTGTCTTACCATTCTGGCATGTCCCACCAGGAGGAGCGGAAGGCAATTTTGCGAATTCATATCAGAAAGGCACGGGTGGGGTCTCTGATCCGGGGAAGCATGAGTTGAGCAGCATGGGCATCGGCGTCATGCCAGATACGTTAAAGTTCTCTTAGCACGTCGTAGCAGGAACCGCCAGCTATTAAGTTGCTGGCCATAAGGGAAAATTGCTCCAGCACGAACAGTGTTACCTTTCGGATGGTTGTACGGTTGGGTTGCATGTCGCAGGCTGTTGTTAGATCGCTGGCTGAAGCCTGAGTCTCCAGCGCAATGACGGAGGTACTTTGAGTCCTTCGCGTTTCTCTCGAACATAGAATTGACTAATATCCGAAAAGTTCTCAAGATGTGGGAGGATCAAGATTGCCATTGTCTTGACTGGTTCAAGCAGCTACTGATCACTTCCGAAAAACCGCTCCAGTGCAACCCGGCAATTGCAGCGCTTTCTTAGCCGCGCAGGCAGACGAGCATTTGTCAGTGGAGGTTCGAGGCCAAGAGTTCTAAGCGCTTGTTCATGCAGGCCACGCATGCTACGGTTCTGCCTCGTGTTGTCCACTCTGTTTGTTCTGAATTTGTCTATTTCTGTTGCTGATTACGGAATATAATGATGCACGTGATGGTGGCTTTCGTGTCAGAGGTTTGCCCTCGCTTTTGACCCTGAGTTCAGCGTTGCCAGGACACTCATTTGCAAAACCCGTTATCCTGCAAGCACTTGCTGCAACACGGGCCTCCTGCATAACACGAAGGACCAGACAAGCCTTTATTTTGACTTGCGAATCCTGGACTACAGACTGACTAGCCCCCGCCATTGTTGAACCCTGCATCCCAAGACGGCCTAGGTTGCCCCAGCTAGCACACCCAAAGTCTCTTCTTTTTCTTGAGCCTGAACTGAGGCCAGCACAATGGACTCCATAGCATCGTCTTCTGTAGGCCTTCCTGTCAGCTTGGCAATACGACAGGCTTCATGCAAGTCAGGCTACTAGCTTAGTTGTGCTCAAATAGCATGAGTCCCATCGCAGGCTCTCAGGATGGTTGGGGTCATGTAGGATCATTTCCAGCAATACTGGCAAGGGTCCAGCGAGCAAAAAGCTTTGACTCAATTTTCCACACATCTCTGACAACAGACAGGGCAGTCCAGGATAGGTGCGGGTGCTTGTGGGTCCTGCGCGCGTTCGCGCTTTTGTGTTTCTGCGAGCACTTTCGCTGGTCAAGAACCTGCAAGAGAGAGGTGGGGAGGAAGGACGGGAAACTGCAATGCACAACATCAATAAACACAAGTTTCATGACAGACTCCAGGAAAAGCCTCAACCTGTCCATGACTAGCAGGGCCAAATTTCAGCTCACCTGGCAACAGCGCAAAAGCAGAGAAGAGACGAAGAAAGGAACGACGGCAATAGAAGAGAAGCAGAGTTGAAGAAATGAAATTTTCGCAAACTGAGGCTGAATGTTGCTGCTTCTAGCGTTTGAGAATCGAGGCTTTCAAACGGTCTCTTAATGCGGATAACGGGAGGGTCGCTTCTCAAAAGCCCGCCTCGCTGTGGGCTTTCGTTTGCGTTTGCGAGGAAAAGAAAGACGTGCTGAGATCGCAAATGTTGCATGGTTGAAGCTTTTGGGGGTGGGCGGCCAGCCCTTTGATCCGGTGTCGGTACGACAAGAGATCACCGTAGTGTACCTCAAGCTTCCTCCGCTCAAAGTTATAAAAAACTGATTGGCCGCTTCCAACGCTTTGGAAACTGGGAGCGGCTTTCTTGCAAGGAATCTCCGGCTCAAGGCAAAGCGGTGAATCACCGCAAGCTGCCAAAAAAGCCCACTGAAAGCTGGCACGCTTCAGCACCAAGCGTCTGTTTTCTAAAGCTTTTTGATTTTGCTAATTGTCTACTTGCGAACCAAGCCAGACCAGAGTGGCGGGCAAGTGAATCCCTGCCCACTCAGAACGCCAACACGAATCAAGTATGCATCCTGCGCGAAATCTCTTCTGCTCTGTTAGTCCTGGGTAGGTTTCAGTGGTGCAGAGCTTGCCAACGTCGTGAACGAGGCAACGAGACATGGCAACGTGCTGGTAACTAGGTTTCCGACCGCGAGCTCGAATCTGGGCTGAAGCACGAACTTGAGTGGTTAAGATGAAGACTGCACAGATATTTGAACAAGTGTCAGAAAATCGGCTTTGGAGACTGCTGTATGCCTCCCGAGAAGTGACTTGCTAGGGAGGCCCCGCGTTTCTGAGAGTGGCCGCGGTATGACATCCATGTGAGCCCAAAGCTAGATGCAGCTGTCAAAATTTGGCTTTATGGGTGATCGTGACGCTTCAGTTGGGCTGATGCCATCGGCTACCTGGAACAGGCAATTTTCCTGGCTCTGCGCGACAAGAGACGTCAACCCACAGCCAAGGCTGTGACTTAGGAAGCCTGAGCATTTCCAGTTTCTTCCATGGCTTCACCAGTTTCAGTGGCAACATGATGGCCACATTGTAGCATCGTGCCAATCTGCCCCATTGTTTTTCCAGGATTTCTCCGAGGCCCTGGACCGCCGCAAGGTGCGCCACCACCAGCTTGATCTCTGTTCAAGGGTCCGTTGGCCAGAGTGGAATCAAGACGGCAAAAGTCCTGTCAATGTCATTTAGGTGGTAGGCTTCCGAAATCAGGACGGGAGGCTACCAGGTTCACGTTATCAGCCATCAACGTAAAAGTAGAGGATACCCTGGGAGAACCACAGCTGAGGTGGCACGAAAGGCCGTCGGGTGCACCAATGGTGCTCTGAATGGCGACTTGAACGGCCTAGGCGGGCATGTGATCGGATTGGGTCGTATGAGATTCCACCCAACCCCCACGTCCTCGCGATTTGTGTTGTCTCGCCACTCATGGCATTGTCTTTGTCTTCGATATTTCCCATGACACGTGCAAAAAAGCAGCGGGTGGTGCGGGTTCGCCGTATTTGCAACCGTAATTGTCTTTGTTGCAGAGGATCACAGCAGCCTGAGAGTCGCCGCAGTGGCTCGACAACGGACACCAAAGAGACGCATGTGGGGGAAAGAGAAAACAAGGAAGGCTCTTCGGGCGAGTATACGGAATACGATGCCACTGGCACCACACCAATCCAAGGGGGAAGGCACATAAAGCCCACTCACGTGGTGACTTTTCTCCATGACTTCAGTGATTGTCCAGAAGTATCTCGAACACGACACCAGCCACACAGTTCAGGGAGAGCCACGGGAGAGGAAAAGGTTTGGGTTAGGTGACCCAATAAACAAGTCAAGGATGCATCTATCCAAGCTGCTACAAGCTTCACACTGCAGTTCCAGATCAGTGCAGCTCTCTCTCCAAACTTCCGCACCTTTAGCCAAGACATTGTGACCTGCAGATCTTGGCACTGCAGGGTGGTACAGAGCCAGTCAAGAGTACTAACAGTCATGGATGGGATCATATTCCATCACCTAACCATGGAGGGAAGGGGGTCGCAGCCTTGGATCAACACACATGAAAGAGGGAGATGGCTGACAACATGCCATTTGCAAGGCCTCCCAATCCGTGACTAATTGATGCCAGGCTTCCGTATGCCGCGACCGTGGCCAAAGGCAGGCTTCTTGTATGCAATTGTTGCCAGCTACTGGCTCGAAGATGAGATTCCTTTAATTTGTCTGCCCCAAAGCAGACCAGAATGAAGGCCAAACCCCAAAACCCCTTCTCCAACATCCTCCAGCAAACCACGGAAAACACACTTTACTGGCGTGCCTGTAGGAATCCCGATTTTCTGCCATAAAAAGGCTTCATGTTCTTGACCAATTCATGCTCTGCTTCGACGTCTTTGGCAGAGGTAGCCTTACATGTTGGAGATGAAGTCATCGCCCACTGCAGAGGCCGCTGCTGCTTAGCGATTCATGAGGGCCCGTGCTGTTGACAGCCTGCGGAAGAGGTCTGCTCGCGTGGGCAAGAACAGGCTTTGAAGCACAGGGGCTTTAAAGACAATCTTAAGGTCCTGGTGAAGCAACAGATTTAGCCTGCTGGAGCACGTGTATGAGATAAATTTCTGCCTCGAGCTGCAGATTTTCCGCAGACCAACCCTGCTGGACAGTGACGGAAGAGCACTTGTGAAGGCATCGCATACTTCTCAAAACTTCGCGTGATTTATGCTGAGCACTCAAACGTGACTGCTGTAGCAAACGCCGCCTGCTGCGCGTACAGAAGTTGCCACAGCGTAGTGGAAAAATTGTCGGCTCCAGCTTGCAGATTTTCTGAGCTCCAGTTGCTGGACTCCTTTCAGAGGCATGCCAGGAAGAGGTGAGGAAGGTGATATGATGCCCAGCCACCCATTGCTTGCGGTCAACTTTGCAAGTTGCATCCGTACAACTACTTTGCTTGCTCGCAGCTTGTGCCAAGCCGCCGCACGCATGTCCAATTGCAGAAACAGGCCATGCCCTCGAGCCAAATAAACTGACTTGTGCCTCTGCCTTCCATTCGCCATGCCGGCTGTGTCAACTCCAGAGAAAACTGGCCTAGCAAGCGCCCCAGTTTGGGGTGATCTGAAGTCGGAGAAGTGTTGCTCGTAAAGTCCAATGGGGAGTTCATATCCACGAGGCAGAGTTGAATGTGGGTGATCATGAGAGAGTAATATTCATATTACATCGTTTGGTAGAAATCACGGCAACGTGTGGAGCTGGATCCTGCGCTGTTAGACTAACCCTGAAATCCTTGTCTGAGATCACTTTGCGGGGATCCACGGAGACGGTGGTGGAGTTCTTCGGCTATGCCATCAACAGCATCTTGTACCAGCGTGGGTGTTTCTAGCGCAGTTTGCAGGGCATTGCAGGGTTGGCATGGCCTGCAATGTAGATGCGCCACAAACTGCTCCCAACTCTCTTTCAAATCTGATGCACCAAAATTTGTTGGGAGGTTCAGCGCAGTCTTTGGACTGAATAGATTACACAGGAGGAGGTGAAATTGCGTGGAGGGTTACAAGGAGACGAGATAATAATGGGCAGTGCATTCCGCATTCCTTTATTCCTTGAAGATGCGAAGGAGATTTCCAGTAAACGTTTTGAGGAAAACGGAATCCCCTTTTTGCGATTCAGGGCTCCGAAGCTTTGCATTAATCCAAACCCCTCAATCCACGAAACTGACGGATTCACTCCAAGCTTCATGGTACATCGGTTCCTTCTGCAAAACGCAACATTATCCAGCCCTCGCTGCACACAGTCTATAATGCCAAATCTATGCGCCACTATCTTTTTCTCAGGCAGCGGACTGGACTGTCCAAAAAGTACCAGACTAGAACTGTAAGTGCTTTTAGAAGATGAATGGGGCAGATGGTGTGGTTGGCTAGTTCATAAGGCATTGTCAGCAGCTGGCTTCGGCTGCGTGTCGAATCAAGCAAATTCCTGAATGGACAGTGGACAGGAATCCAACCCGCAGTCCGATCTGCTAGATTGAGCCCAAATCTAAGGTGTGTTGGATATGAAACCGCACTGAACAAGCCTTACAACTGGCGCCAGGGTCTACCCTCCAGAGAACTTCACCTCTGTGGCCAAGTACGGATTGTGCCCCGGCTGATTCCTTTGCTTCTTAGGCCATAAAGACAATCCGTGGCAACCCGTGGGCGGATGGGAAGACACCAAAGAAACACCGGCATGCTCATGCTGCTCTTGATCTTTTGAGCGGAGGCGGGGTGAAAGCTATTTAGGAATTCTCGTGTCAACACGTGGGCGGATGGGAAGATGGGGCGTACCTTGGACTAATAGGGCCATCACAAAATTAAATCAGAACTGCTCCAACCCTTGGACTGATGGGGCGTACCTTGGACTAATGGGGCCATGACAAAATTAAATCAGAACTCCTCCAACCCTTGGACTGACGGGGTGTACTTTGGACTCATGGGACGATGATAGAATTAAATCAGAACTCCTCCAACCCTTCGACTGATCGGGCGTACCTTGGACTAATAGGGCGATGATAAGATTAAGTCAGAACTCCTCAAGTCCTCAAGCCCTTCGACTGATGGGGTGTACCTTGGACTAACAAAAAGAAGTGAACATCAGCAAAGAGGACATTGCTCAAAAATCGTGCGAAACCCCATTTTTAAGCAGGTGAAGTGGAGAAAACTACACAATCACAAACGTAACCGATACGTCGTCGTCGT